ATTTGGTGGACTTGTCATTACCAACACTATGCTTACAATGCACAAGCCGATAGACAATAATGAAATCACAGTTGAGGTAATTGGTTTTTTCAAACAGTTTTTCACTCGGGACCTTTAGGAAATTTTTTTTTAATAAAATGAAATAAAATACAGTCTTCCATATTGCCAGTAAGAAAACTGCAGTTTCACAACTTTATGACGGATCTATATCTTATAAATCATAAATAAAAATCACCTAAAGAATTATAAGTTTTGATCTTTTTACCTATGGCTTCGATTTATTTTTTCTTAATACTACTGATTATTTGTAGGTTAATTTACCCATGCTAGAGTTTTCAGATCATTAAATGACGTTTAAAAATATTTCTATCACTTGTTATAAATAATGTATAGTTTTGATGTTTTATATTACAATTATAAAAAATTACTATTGTCAAATGCAAAAGAATTTGAATATGATGCATAAAGTAAACAAAACAAAGAAACAATGACGTACCATTTGGTGGTATAATTATTGTTATGTTTTCTATGGTTATCATCAGAAGAGCACCGTCTATCTTCAGGAAAGTGGGTTGCTCCATTTGGCGTGTGATTGTCGTCTTGACTAAAGAAAACATAAATATATTTTATATTTAATTTTAATATCGGTTTTTTGTTTAAATTGTAAATCAAAACTGAGAATAGATTGAAATGTTATGTTGAAGTTATTATAATGGCAATATTAACAGTAACACAGTTGAAAAGTTTAGATTATGTCATAAAATTGCGGTAACTTTCTCTCTCTCTCTCTCTCTCTCTATCTTTCTTGCTCTTTCCAACCGATCAAACACAATTATCTGTGTAAGATTCAATGATAATATCTGTCAGTGTCAGGGTGTTTTATATTGAGTTTCTCAGTTGAAAAAATCAAAGAGAGGGTCCGTTATCATTGACACTGTCACAGATAATATCATTGAGTATAACACAGATAATAATGTTTGATCGGATGCTTTCTCTATCTCTCTCTTTTTCTCTCTCTTTATATCACTTTATCTCTCTCTTTCTCTTTTTATCTCTCTTTATATCGCTTTATCTCTCTTTATCTCTCTTTATCTCTCTGTTTCTCTGTTTCTCTCTTTATCTCTTTTTCCTCTCCTCTTTTCTCTCTTTATATCTCTTTCTCTCTCTCTCTTTTTATCCATCTTCCTCTCCTCTTTTCTCTCTTTTCTCTCTTTTCCATCTTTCTCTTTCTATCTCTCTTTCTCTCTCTCTCTCTTTTTCTCTCTGTATTTCTCTGTATCTCTCCTTTTCTCTTTCTCTCTTCATCTTTCTTTATCCATACTTCTCTCTCTTTCTCTCTCTTTCTCTCTCTTTCTCTCTACATCTCGCTACTCTATGAACACAAACCTCAGTGTTACAAATTGAACATGTCCATGTTGATCTTTTATTTCCTTTGGTGGTTCTCTGGTAAACTTCAGCAATGGCTCATCTCTGTGAGAGAACAGACAGTTGTAACGATACTAATCATCTGTGATAATTTATCTGAATTTGATGGCATGGGCGGGGGTGGGGGGGGGGGGGGGGTAGAGCGCTCTTCTGCACAGCATACATGATACAAGTGAAAATAAACATACGTTTCGTTGTCATATCCTCCTTTTCTGAAAATGACACCTTTGTATGCTTCTATACCAGCATTGACTACTGTAATTAAAGGGTCTTCGGCGCCACCTCTATAGAGAAATACATGTATTCGTTTTTTAACAATTCATAATTTAAGTTAACAATTAAAGAATATAATACATTGTTATTCATTCTTTATTGAATAATATATACAAGCAATATTTTTTAAATAAATATGGATTTTCAGCCTTATATATTTCTGCTACAAAATACTGATCAAGGAGTAAGTGGTCGGGTGTTAGTGCGATCCGTTACAACACGAAGGGTTTTAGCTCGAGTCGGCACTATGTTTAGTGTTAATTTAAACTTTGATGGGTATAAAATTTTTGGATTTACTAGGTTTTGATATGCTACATAATAGGGTAAAACTTCTTTGAATTCACGAAGATTTGATATTCTAACTAGTAGGATAAAACGTCCCTAAGTCTACTAAGCTTTGATATGTTACCTAATAGAGTAAAATTTCTTTGAATCCAGGAAACTTTGATACGCTACCTATTAAGGTCTACCAAGTTTTACTCAGTTCTTAATTCACGTTTGTACATGGTCACCACGACAGACTAAACTAAAATTGTAACGGCTGTGATACGTCACTTGCAAAGTTATCCACAAGTTATAGGTACAGAAAACTCAACTTTATTTGTTTTAACGACCGTCAGGTTTAAAAATTATTTTTTAAATAGCTAGAAACAAAAAGCAAACAGATATATACACATATATATATATATAGGTATACATGTAAATAACTATATATATATATATATATATATATATATATATATATTGACTTTGATAATTGGTTCATCGTTTAAATTGTATATCAATATTGATAATAAATTGAAAAGTTTTATTGAAGTTACTACAATAATACCGTTGAAAAGTTTTGATTAGGTCATGTAAACTTGCCATCTTCCACTCTCTTAATTTCTCTTTCAAAATATTTCTAACTTTCTCGCAACCCTTTTCCCGCTCTCAGCTCTCTTTCTCTCTCTTTCTCTTTAAATCCCTCTTGCTCTTTTTCTCTCTGTCTTTATACCTTTTTATTTATTTATTTCTCTCTTTCTCTCTCTCTTTCTCTCCCATTCTCTTTCTTTCTCTCTTCAACTCGCTGCTCTCCTCGCACAAACCTCAGTGCTACAAGCTGAACATCTCCATGTTGATCATTTGTTTCCTTAGGCGGTTCCGTGGTCAACGTGAACAATGGCTCATCTCTGTAAGAGAACAGACAGTTGTAACGATACTAATCAAGTGTGCTAATTTATCTGAATGGAGTGGCGGGGGGGGGGGGGACGTGGGACGTGGGCGGGTGGTCAGCACTATGTGTGGGGTTAAATTTAAAATTTGATGAGTACTAATTTTTTGGGTCGACCAAGGTTTGGTATGCTACCTAATAGTGTAAAACCTCTCATGGTCTACCAAGTTCTATTCGGTTCCTAATTCTCAATAGTAGATAGTCACGACAACAGCCTGAACTAAAATTGTAAAGGCGTTGATACGTCACCATCACAAGCTACTTTCTCGAAAGACTCTACTAAATTCGACCTAGCTACCGTGAGGTCTAAAAGTTACTCATCTCATAGAAAGACACAAAAAGCAACCATATATATATATATATATATATATATATATATATATATATATATATATATATATATATATATATATATATATATATGATGATAAAACATACCTCGGTGTTTCATGATGGGCATGTCCATTTTGATAATTTGGTTCCTTTGGTTTTGTTATCCCGTTAGGTAGTTCTCTGTTCAAACTGACTGTTGATATTTTCCTAGAAGGTAAAGGAATAGACAAAAGCTAATCATTCGTGTTACTTCATCTGTGATTCATTTCTATCTATCTTCAACAGATACTAAATTATTTAGATACACAGTAAAGTTGACGTTTGTATATATATATATATATATATATATATATATATATATATATATATATATATATATATATATATATATATATATATATATATATATAGTAAATAGCACAGTAACTCGATACAATTTTAGCACAAACCTTGGTATCTTATGTTGACCTTGCCCATCCATGTAACAGTGTTCCATTAATGCAGTCGCCCCGCTAGGAGGTGCCCCCATGAAAGAGTACGATGGCATGGCACTACGAGGGAATAGACAGATACAACGATGTTAATCGTAATTGGGTACTTAATAAAGGTATGTAAACTGTGATCAACAAATACCAACAGACACACACACACACACTCACACACACATATATATATATATATATATATATATATATATATATATATATATATATATGTGTGTGTGTGTGTGTGTGTGTGTGTGTGTGTGTGTGTGTGTGTGTGTGTGTGTGTGTGTGTATGTGTGTGTGTATGTACGTTTAACATATCAAGATAAGTAACCGAAATAGAGATATTCGTATTGGATTAAATATTTGCTAATTTTGTCACTCCAAGAATTTCTCATTGCTAAATCATACTTTTCAAATACTTACTACACGTATTCAGGATGTTCCAAGCACACACCAGTGGCAATAAGTTGTGTACTCGATCGATTTGTAAAACACACGGAGTCGATATGAAAAAAGCTTATGATATTTCAAAACTGTAGCCTATTATGTAAATAACATTTATTGATATATTTTTCCCTGGAAAATTTAGTCCGCCCCCCCCCCACCCCTTCAAGAGAAAATATCAGCAATAAACACTGTTATGTATAATTACCCCAGGTTACCCTATATTAATCATAATTATTTAGTTTTAAATTATTATTTCTTAGATTTCCAAGAAAAAAGTTTCATGAAAACAACGCGAAATGCCAATTATAATTTGTATTGCTTTATAGTTTTCAAATTATAACAGTTTTCCTAGTTATGTCCCTTATCAGCCTACCTAGGTCATATCGGGAAAACCATCTATTAGGTTCTTTTATTATAGCTTACTATTCGAATAATTTTTTTTAAAAAAAGATATTTTATTTTAGAGCTTAGGTGAATATCGACCCGAATGTTCTCTACAAAGGTTGCTAGAATAACTCGGTGATTTGTATACCCTTACACATACTCTGCTTAGAACCACTTCACCCCCCCCCCCCCCCTCGCTCGCGCACAAACATTATATTCAACCGGTTTGCCCTTGATAAGAAAAATTGTCGTCTTAAATTTGAAATTTTAACCATATCGAACAGTTTCCTCCGAATACCCTTCACTATTTACTAAAATAATTGCTATAAAAAAACTTACTTTCCATAGTTACTCAAAACGTCCGCCTTTGACATTTCTTTACAGCAAAACTATCTGAGTTGCTGTATGATATAAAAAAATTATAATTCGAATATATATATATATATATATATATATATATATATATATATATATATATATATATATATATATATATATATATATGTATTTATATATATATTTATATATATGTATATATATATGAATAAAGAGAGAGAGAGATAAATGTAGATATATTTACATAGATGCATGTTAATGTATGTGTGTGTGTTCATAAACAGTCGTAGATGTATAGATGTATCAATATGTTTTATTTTCCATAAAAACTATTAAACAAAAAAGTCCCGAATTTGGTTGATACACAACAAAATAGCCTATACTCTGTATGTTTCATAGTAACTATTGTTACCACCGTATGTATCATATCCGTCTTAGCCGTTTGTTAGACGCCTACAAGTTTGACGTAGCTGTTTGTTAGACGCCTATAACTGGATAAGTGCCAAATAGGAAGGGTAAAACGCCGTTTGATTTGTGTTTTTTCATAAAATTTAAATTTAGTTCTACCGTAAATATTGCATTTCCTGAAAAATGTATTTGATTATCTTTTCTTTTTCTTTTTCTATCGATTAGTATTTATAATTCGATATTTCTATAGTTGCAAAGTGATTTATTTTTAAACGCCGTTCAGTTACAGATATAGCGTAAAAACACCTTGCCGGGAAATAAAACAGTTTTTGAATAGTTGATTCGCTTGCTAAGATTGGGAATTCGTATTGGGACATGAGGTTTTCTATACATAAGCACACATACAAATGTACGTGTGTGTGCTTCCATATATATATATATATATATATATATATATATATATATATATATATATATATATATATATATATATATATATATATATATAATTTAAAAAAAAACATGAGGCGATAATATTACTATATAACGCAACTTGGTTTCTGTAACGTCAAACAATTAAAATGTGGATGATTTTTTTTCAAAATTTTTACATAAAATTGTAAATCAGTTATCTAAATTAAAATTTAAACGAGTGCAGCTGAAATTCTGTCAAATACAGTACAGGCATATCTCTTTAGAGTGTGGGTAAAACATTAACAGTAGCCTACATTTAAATTTAAGACATAATTTGTCTTTATCTTATATGCTGCCGATGTCGTTAACGGTCAGCAGAGGAAAGAGATTTTGTTACTATTTTGTATAAGTTGTAGTTAGTTTTATTCACCCATTACCACGATTTGCCTACCACTCTTAGTTACTTCAGTAACAATAAGAATATTCTTAACCACGAAAAAATGTATTCTGATTGCTTTTAAAATATTGAGAATTAATTTTAAGGCAGCATAGTGATACTAAGGGTAGTATGTTCAAAATATCGAATCAGTTAAATCTCTTCAATTGTATTGCCCAGCTTAATAAAATGTGTCTACTTTTTGGGTAAACCATTTAATTGAAACAGAAAGTGCTTGACGTAAGTTAAAGCTATAAATATAGCCTGATTACATTTTCATGGTACATAGTTATTGTACATTAAAGCTATAAATATAGCCTGATTACATTTTCATGGTATAGAGTTATTTATCTTTTATATTTTTCTGTATCTTCACTTGTGTTATAAATCTCTCCTTCAGCAATCCAGCAGTTCCAATAAAGTAATTGTCATACAAAGATACTAATTTACTTCATATCTAGAGAAAAGGATAAAATATTCTTTAAACAAATATTATTTTTAACCAATAGAAAACAAATTTGCTCTTCTCCAATTCGAACAAACCACTTGAACCAGTCAGACCGCAACATAATGGTGAATAGAGAAAATGTGATACTGCGAATTCAGTCATTGTGATCTGTTTATTGCTACAAGGTTTTTCCTTACTAAGTTACTTCCCAGTAGCACCTAATACGTCAAGGGAAGATCCCTCTACCATGATCACGTCTATTTATGTCTCTATGCTGGGGAAGTACTTGCCATACGCTATACTTTGTTGTTCTTATCAGACATGCAAGTAAATGTTTTTATTGGATAAGTCGAGACATCGATGAATTGCTCCACAAATTTTATTTTATAAAAAAAACAAAGCTTGATTGTCAAATGAAATCTTTTTACATAAATAACAAACAAAATAACAAATCGGTAAGCTATATATATATATATATATATATATATATATATATATATATATATATATATATATATATATATATTTATTTATTTATATATATATATATTTATTTATATATATATATATATTTATTTATATATATATATATATATATATAAATAAATAAATATATATATATATATATATATATATATATATATATATATATATATATATATATATATATATATATATATTAAATATGTGTTATTGAACACATTTGGCTTGGGGAAAAACTAAGTACGTGAAAAAAAACTTCAGCAAATATTGTCATTGTGTAAACGATGATGGTTGACTAAAGAACATAAATATTACTTACTGAGGTGTCTTACAGAGGCCTACAACTAATGTAACTTAACTTGGATACAGTCACAATGTAACTGTCTCCGACTACATTATATATTTGTGAATGATCACAAAATGTACACAAAAGTTATTTTTATCTTTAAAAAACGATAACTAAAAAAGTCAGACGCCGATTCTTGTAATTCAGGATGCAACATTCTACTTCACTCACTAAACTCCCCTCCCACTCTCATACACACTCACATACACACACATGCAAAATTACCAATAACTATTCTTCTAATGAAATATTACCATACATTTCATCAAATTTTTATTTCCAACAAATTACATACATAGCCAATACATAGCCACATAAACCGTAGCCTTCCTCTACACATCCGTGTGCGGTCATTCAAAGCACTGTATAATGTTAAGTAATAGCCATCAAAACATGGCGAAGATTTTTGATTTCTTTTAAAAAGTCTTTTAAAAACTAAAGAACTATGAATGTTGTGAACACATTGGTGAGCTAGCTAACAACTGTTGACATATTATTTTGTCGATATGCGTGGGACTGGTAAACCACAACGTAACATTGAGCATAATTTACAGTATTTACACAAAATGCTTTTTTTTCAATAAGTACAAGTAAAATAAAACCTGTAGAATATACACAAACTGTTTAAGTTGTTGTATATTGCAGGTTTTAAAACATGAATTTAACTATACAATTTTACAGCACTAAATTCTATGCAGCAGTAGTTTTAAAAACGAAACAGCATTACAAGATTAAACATACAAAATTATATCCACAAATGAAAAACACCCATCCTTTTAAAAATAAACTTTCTAAACGACAACATTTATTTTTAGAACAGTCAACAACTTTTAACCAGTAGTTTTAAAAAAAAAATTGCACATTAAAACATACTATAATTAAATCTACCTAAGAGAAACTTTCTAGACCCAAAAAAGGGAATTCATTTTTGGCACGGTAAAACTGGAAGTAGTATTTGGCACTCTGTACAGATAAGTTGTTTTGGCACTGTTAAAGGGAAGTAGTTTATGGCACTTGGCACTCTCATTATCAGAGTTATAGCCCTTAGGTAAAATCAATCATTCAGCTGTTTATGAGACTTAGGTTCCAGATGAATTGAGTATTTTCACCAAGCTAGTGGTTAGATATGGAGAGAAATTGTCGTCTGGAGAGAAATTGTCGTCTGGAGAGAAATTGTCGTCTGGAGAGAAATTGTCGTCTGGAGAGAAATTGTCGTCCGTCTGGGCAGGTTTATCCTTCCGTCCTGTAGGACCCGAGGAGCACCAGACCGAAGAAAGTGGACTGTGGCTTGTAACTGACCAGTCGACTGCCGGACACCTCCACGTTGATGGAGTCTCCTGTCTGTAGCAGGAACACGCCGGCTGGAGACGATAATGGTAGAAAATATTGTATGTTCGTATGTCACAGTTTCAATTGTAGAGAATATTTCATGTTCGTATTTCACATTTTCCAATAAAAGAAAATATTTCATGTTCGTATTTCACATTTTCCAATAAAAGAAAATATTTCATGTTTGCATTTCACTGGGTTTTTTTTTTGTGTTTAGAATAGTTCTTGTTCATATGTGAACATTTTTTTTTTTTTTTTTTTATTTTTTGTGTTTAGAAAATTTCATATTTCACAGTTTTCAGTGGTAAAAAATATTTCATATTCGTATTTCACAGTTTTTTTGTGTTTGAATAATTTATATTCATATTTTACAGTTTTTCATTTTTTATAAAATTTCATGTTCATATTTCCGAGTTTTTCATGTTTAGAATATTAAATATTCATATTCCGATTTTTTACTACCTATAGGAAATAAGACGATTACACTTTTTAAAATTTCATTTTTACAATGGACACAGCCATGAATAGTCTCAAAATGGTGTATAAAATATTTTGATAATATGGTGTAATGTTATTAAAATAAATATGGCTAGAAAAACCTGAATGCTTGATTTTTAACGTACTTTACTTAAATTTGGATGTATTTGATGTTTTAATATTTTCGGTAATTAAACACAGTTTTAAAGACAAACATAATTTGGTTGTTTACAATTTATCTCAGAAAATGTAAACGAAAATGGCTGAATTCGTTTATGTGGTTTAAAAATATATATAATTATTTGAAAATTTAATCAGCATATTTTTAGAACAAATTATTTTAAAGTGGAGTTTTTAGATCACTGAGTTCCTGTATAGCCAATTAATGTGTGCCGGATGAAAGTGAAACTACTGGTCATAACTTAGGCTTCATAAATATTAATAGAAATGTAGCCTTCACTCAGTCTGATTTACTTTCCCTAACTTGAGTCCGCTACCCGTTAGAGTTGGGTGGATTCAGGGACGTTCTACACACACGGACCTGGGATTCGAACCCGAGACTTTCTCGTTAGCTGTCGTATGCCGTCCAATCGTGGGAAACTTAAGTTTACCATCGTAGGAAAGTAAAGTTTACCAGCGTGGGAATGTAGTTTACTTCATGGGAAAGTAAAGTTTACCAGCGTGGGAATGTAGTTTACCATCATGGAAAAGTGAAGTTTACAATCATAGAGAGTAAAGTTTACAGCGTGAGAAAGAAAACGTTTACCAGCATTGGAAAGTAAAGTTTACCTGCGTGGTAAAAGTTTACCAGCAATGGAAAGTAAAGTTTACCTGCGTGGTAAAAGTTTACCTGCGTTGTAAAAGTTTACCTGCGTGGTAAAAATTTACGTGCGTGGTAAAAGTTTACCTGCGTGGTAAAAGTTTACCTGCGTGGTAAAAGTTTACCATGTAAAAGTAAAGTTTACCTGCGTGGTAAAAGTTTACCTGCGTATGTGGTTTCCTGGTTATGCTTGCACTCATCACAGCAGGTGTGTGTGGCCGTCACCAGCGTCTCCCCCACAGCAGCGTTCTCTGGTCGAGTCAGTAGGATGCTGTTGTTCCACGTCTGTGGACACGGTTCAAATCCCAGTCAGCGCTAGCGGCGTACAGGCCTACAAGGCTAACCTCTAAACGTTACCGGGTTATAACCGAGGTATACATGGCTAACTTATCTCAAAATTAATAATTTCCTGCCAACTAATTTGATTTTTTTAAAAATTATTTCTGAATTGTATCAACATGTTTCAAAATAACTGAGGATTTTATCTCCTATCGTTTATATGCATAAGACAACGTTTTATAAAATGTGTATTTTTAAGAAAGTTAATTAAGGGCCCTTGAAACAGCTGATCAAGTTGCCTAGAAGGAAGGACCGTCCTTTGTAACACGACTACTCAACGTCAAGACATCCGTCACGTGCTAATAGTGTCCATGATTTATTTCCCTTTGTCTCACGCTATACACAAATTAGATTAGTTTATGTTAGACTTAATTCACATACTTAGAACATATACACATACTCAGACACACACAGACCAGTATCTTCCAGGCATCTCTTGCCAGTGTCCCCCCCCCCCCCCACATTTTTATGTTGTCGTCGTCTTCGTAGTCTCCCCCCCTCATGAAGAAAAAAGTCTGAAAGAAACACTGATACAGACACACATTAATCACCATGCACAAATAGACATAAACACAAGCATATGCGTAATATGAATATACAAATAGGCCTACATGTCGACATCTAAAATACTGTACGCATAAAGACATACAATACACACACATCAGTGAATGCACTAGACAAACAGACGGACAAAAACACCCCAGACAATTTATACTGTAAGTATACGGACATAGACACCCGCACATAAACACTCACACTGCAATATGTTGCTGTGAGCAAAAGTTCCCCTTTAATACCAAACTATACAAAAGGCAGGTGAAGTAGAGTTTACATGTTTCTTGACCTCGATGGTGTGGTCAGCTCTATTCCCAGCCGCCTATACTTTCCCTAACGGGAGCCAGGTACCCAACAGTGCTGGTTGGACTCCGGGACGGCCGGCAATCACGTGTCCAGACTGAGAACCGAACTCGAGACAATCAGGAAGGCAGTCGAGCACTCAATTACTCGACCACACAATGCCATAAGCTGTCAACAAACAGACACAACCCCCCCCCCCCTCCCACACACACACAAGTATACATCAAGCTTGTCGCATGTTGTAAGCACACAGACTCACATACACGAAAACACACACACACTTAGCACACCTGAAACTCCCCACACTTTAAGGGCAAGTCCCCCACACACTCACACACCCAACTCAACTGATACTGCACATCCCCCACACTCTCACACACAAACCCACACGCACCCGCACAACTGACCTGATACTGAAAGTCCCCACACTTTAAGGGCGAGTCACACACACACTCACACACAAACCCACACACTCACACACAACTGACCTGATACTGAAAGTCCCCACACTTTAAGGGTGAGTCTGGCCTGAAGGCCACACTGCTGTACATGTAGTAATGTCCAGTCTGCGTGATGACCACCCTGTCCGTGAACAGCTCCACGCCACGCCAATGTTCCAGCAACAAGTTCTTCTCCTCTGGCACAAAGTGCAACTTGTAGGGCTGGAACTCAGGTTCTAGACAAGGGGGGGGGGAGCAAAGTGCAACGTATGGCTGGAACTCAGGTTCTAGACAGGGGGGGGGGGAGCAAAGTGCAACGTATGGCTGGAACTCAGGTTCTAGACAGGGGGGGGGGAGCAAAGTGCAACGTATGGCTGGAACTCAGGTTCTAGACAGGGGGGGGGGAGCAAAGTGCAACTTGTAGGGCTGGAACTCAGGTTCTAGAGAGGGGGGGGGGGCAAAGTGTAACTTGTAGGGCTGGAACTCAGGTTCTAGACAGGGGGGGGGGGGGTAAATGCAACTTGTAGGGCTGGAACTCAGGTTCTAGACAGGGGGGGGGGGTAAATGCAACTTGTAGGGCTGGAACTCAGGTTCTAGACAGGGGGGGGGGGGGGGTAAATGCAACTTGTAGGGCTGGAACTCAGGTTCTAGACAGGGGGGGGGGGGGGCAAAGTGCAACTTGTAGGGCTGGAACTCAGGTTCTAGAGAGGGGGGGGGCAAAGTGCAACTTGTAGGGCTGGAACTCAGGTTCTAGAGAGAGGGGGGTGGGGGGGAATGCAACTTTTAGGTCATGAACTCAGGTTCTAGAGCTGGGGGCAAAGCGCAACTTTTAGGTCATGAATTCAGGTTCTAGAGAGGGGGGGGCAAGGTGCAACTTTTAGGTCATGAATTCAGGTTCTAAATAATTAATGTCAAATGTAATGTCAGAGTGCATTTTTATCGGGTCTTCACCCAAGTGCCGAGTTTGAAACTAATCGGGCAGTTAGAAGTGCTTGCAATTTATGTCGGTAGTTTCGATCTTTGACGACCGGAAGACAGAAAGACAGGCCGACAGAGCTTGTAAAAAGCACCATTGTAAGATTATTCTTACCTCCGACTTTCATTAGTAGTATAAATTTAATAACTTTAATTATAAATATTCTCTGTGTAAGGTAGGGTGTGTGATTAACGTATTGATGCTTGGACTTTTTGGGGGCTGGTCTAAAGTTGGGTGGGAAACGCTTTGTTTGTTAGTAATAGGAGGTCGGTTTGGTAAAGCTCATGGTTGCTAAACTGAAACGTCCCGACTTCGAACCCCCGGGCAGATGAGGCTCGCAAGCTGGGGACAGCATCCCATCTAGGAGGGAAATTGGTCATGGGAGGGGTTCAAAAAAAAAAAAAAAAATATATATATATATATATATATATATATGACTGTATATATATATATATATATATATATATCGGAGTCCATGGGAGGGGTTATAACCCCCCTTAACACCCCTTGCCTACGCCACTGGTTGAATTTTTGATCTGAGGCTAATTTCTATTTCAATATATAAATCGAAATGTTACAGCAATGTCGACAGAATGCCAGACATGTTTCGTCTATCAGAACATTATTCCAACACTCACGCAGGGTACTAGAACTTTCCTCGTCAGGCGGTGCAAGTTTCATGTGCATCGTGGTGGGTGGTTTCGGTGAAGTGTTGCCGCTGCCTTGAAATGGTGGCACTGAAATACACAAAAAATGATTGGTATCAGTGTTTCTTTCGAGCATTTCTTCGCGGGTTTACCCCTCCTCCGGGGCACTTCTACCCCCCCCCCCTTAAGAAATGTAATTTATATAGGAAAAATATACTTTTATCCAGTGCTTTTTGTGACGGTACGCACAGGTACGACGTACCTGCACCTTTGTCAATGTGAGTAGTATATTAGGTCCCTTTTGGGTATTATTTTTGGCGGAGGTGGGGATGGGGAGGAACAATGACATATAGGAAAATACTCGGGAGCAGGATGCGCGGGTGGCGCAAAGAGATATAGTAAAATACTCCCAGCCTGGCGCATCGGGATGGGGAGGGTGGGTGAGCAGGATGTAGGGGTGGCGCAAAGACATATAGTAAAATACTACGCCAACTGGTGTTGGCGGAGGTGGTGGGGAAGTAGGTCACCTTTTGGTGACCTTGTGACGTAATCATTGCCCTTGTGACGTAATTAGTGACTTTGTGACGTAATTAGTGACTTTGTGACGTCATCACTGACCTTGTTACGTAATTTTAATGCGTTTTTAATTAGTTTTAATTTATTTTTTTAAATTTTAATTAGTTTTTTAATTAGTTACGTAATTTAATTACTTTGTTTGTGTTTTGTTTGTTTAATTTGTTTGTTTACTTGTTGTTTAATTTAATTACTTTGTTTATATTGTGTAATTTTTATTAACGAGTTACGTAATTTGATTATTTGTTTACTTTTTAATTAATTTTTATTGACCTAGTTACGTAATTGGATTTTAATGAGTTTGAATTTAATTTTGTAATTTTAATTAATTTTTATTAACGAGTTACGTAATTTGATTATTTGTTTGATTTTAAATTGTTTACTTTGTTTGTTTACTTGTTGTTTATTTGTTTATATTGTGTAATTTTTATTCAATAGTTACGTAATGTGATTTTAATTATTTTTATTTTGTTTATTTTTAATTTTATTTTATTTTATAATTAGTTAAATTATTATTAACTAGTTACGTAATTTGATTTTAATTACTTTGTTTATTTATTTATTTAATATATTTCTTTTCTTTGATGTTTAATTTGTTGGTTTGTTTGAATGTATGTATGTTTAAATAAAAGACTAACACTAGCCGTGTACTTTGTGAATAACATCCATTAAAGATAACGATCAGGCGACAGCTGTTACGTATCGATCCGCGATCCTTTGTTGACACACGCTGAGCGGTTTTTAATGGGCTTTATATTGATCGCAGCCGCTGGGCCATCAAATGGTGTCCCATATAATTAAATTGGTTATGCTTCACCGCTTTTATGCGTTGTTCGCCGACCCGATCCCACCGGGGGGTATGGTAATTAACGCAAAGCCAGCGTTAAGTGTGGGAACATCTGTTACCATGACACGCGCATCGTAGTGATTAATGGATATTATATTGATCCAACCTACGGGACATCACAGCATGATGTCCCGCCTAATTACATTTATTATTATGCATCAGTGATTTTTCCCCGCTCGGTTTGAAAGGTCATGATGATTAATGGCTTTTTTCCCTGCTCGGTTGACGGGTTATGGTAATTAACAACGTACATTAAGTAGCTTTCCGCGAAGCACTTAGGTCATTATGCAACAGCTGCTGTGTAACAGCTGGTGGTGTAATTAGGCCGAGCGACCGTATAAATGACCGCGAAAATTGTGTTTTAATCACTTCAACTTCGGACTTCACACCAAACTTCACAGCGACTTATCCAGCCTGAGACCTCTGTTGACTCCTGAAACTAACCCACGTCAGCTTTACCAACCATCACACCCACCTAACCCTCCACGGACCACATCTTTTGTGCGTGTTTATTCTATTAAAGGTAAGGATAATATTACTTTTGTTTTAAGGGAGCTAACCCCATTAAAATCAAAACTTATTAAATAAGTAGTCACAGGTATTTACTTTTTGTATCATACACCGAGGTAAGGTTAATATTACTTTTGTGTTAAGGGCGCTAACCCCCCATTCAAATACCTTTTAATTAATTACTTTACTTTTTGTATCGCACACCGAGGTAAGGTGAATTGTACGTATTGTTTTAAGGAAACTAACCAATTAAAATAACCTTTAAATAAATATGTATCTAAATAAGTAGTCAATTGAATTTTCTTTTTAGTGTACAACCGACCCTACGAGACAGACTAACCATCCACTGACCTATTGAGCTACCTACCCAGCCCTGAGGCATCCACTGAACCAAACGTTCCAACGACATCCAACTACACCACTTTGGATCTCCACATACAGTTAACTTCACGTTCAGCTTAGACGTGCAAACCCATAGGTACGTTTCATTTTCAATTTAGTTTTAAGTATGTTTTTTAAGTTATGTATTTTATTTTATGTAATTCTTTTTATTCTACAGCCAGCGACCTACCCAAGCATCCGACTACTAGACACATCGTCAATAATGGAAGCCGCCCAACCTACCACCCACCCAGCCATGACCCGTTTCACATGTGACATATGCGAGCGTGTGTTCAGCCGCAAAGACCATTTGACAAGACATCACGACTCTGCACACGGACGACAAAGACATCCCTGCACAACATGCGGGAAAGTATTTACACTACTAAGTAATTTAACAAGACACTTTAAGAAAGCACACAACAACCAAACATCACCGACTTACACCCCATCAGCAACCGCTAGACAAACTCCACAACCACTATACGTGACCGATAGACAAACACACCAACCCACATTAGTGACCGACACACATACTATCCAACTCCCAACAGCGAGCCAAACAGCTCGTACCGCGACCAACACTAGCCCCTTAAAACGACATACGACGTATGACGATATAGCAAACAACAAACGCGTAAAGACTAACAACGACAGTACCATTTATTCAGACACCACTATGTTTCCTGTAGACGACCTTAGGGGAGATGCAGTAGACTTACACACGACCACAGACAATCATTTACCCACATCCCTTCTCACAGACATTCCTGACTTTATTAAACATAATCACGCCATTAACATGTTACAAAAGGATTCGAATTCAAAACCCTACACAGACAATTTTTCCTTTTTTAGATGTTTAGCCACACATTTAGGAACACCCTTAAAAAATCTTAGAAAGCCAACATTAAAACTCGCGAAACAGTGGCAGGCGTACCAAGGTCTCGGGACCTTGGATAATTTTAGTGGGGTTAGGTTGGTCGAAATTCCCCTCTTAGAGTCCTGTTTTAGTGTAAACATTGAGCTTTTTGAATTTAACGAAAACCAGATCCTTTCTCCGAAAATTAGAAGTAGTGATAGGTTTAGGGAGACTGTGTATCTTTTATTTTTTCAAAATCAGTTTATGTACATTAATAATATAGGTGGGGCGGGTCACGCTTTCGCGTGTTCTGTGTGTAACAAATTATGGCCCACCGTTAAACAATTAAACAGACACGTGAAAGGGTGTAATGGGGGGAAACCCGTAGATAGGTATAAGGGAGGGCTTTATCAGACACAGCAAACAATCTGGGAGTTTTTAGCGTCCTATGGGTTAGTTGTAGATAGTAACTTTGTTTATCCCTTCAGAGCAACTTACGATTTCGAATGCTATTTCGACCATACCGAGTTACCCACGTTAGGTAGAGTTACAAAAAGCGTTGCCAAACACGTGCCTTTGTCTTGCTCTGTCGCCTCAAACGTAGATGGGTTCGTCGAACCCATCTGTTTTATTTCGACTGGTGACCCTCAAGAATTAGTGACTAGAGTTATTGACAGACTCCACATAATTGCTGAGGCAGCTTATGGAATTTTGAAAAAACAGTTCGAGCCTGTTTTTAAGCAAATCAGGAAGTTATTTCCACCTAAAGCTAGGGGTAGTGATAATAACTCGAACGACAAAGGGTTTGATAGGTTTCTTAGCGGTAGATTAGACGAGTATTTGCGACAAATGCCGGTTATAGGGTTTAATTCAGGAAAATATGATATAAATCTCGTTAAGCCGTATTTTATTCAGTACTTTTTAGCTTATTCAAACACAGAAGAGGGGTTAGAGGAGGGACCTAGAGCTAGTTGTAACGATGACGAAGACGACGTAGAAGATAAACAAACACCGTTTAAATATGTAGTTAAAAGAAATAATAATTTTATGTGTATATCAACAAATAAATTAAAGTTCTTAGATATAGTTAATTATCTAGCACCGGGGTTTAGCTATAGTAAATATCTCGCCGCATATAATGTTAAAGAGACCAAGGGGTTTTTTCCGTACGAATATGTCAAAAATTTAGCCGTCTTAGAAGAAACGTCTTTACCTCCGCATTCGGCCTTTTTTTCATCATTAAAAAATTGTAACATTTCAGACGAGGAGTACGCGACGTGTAGCCAAATTTGGGTAGAGAAGGGGATGCAAACGTTTAAAGATTATCTTATTTGGTATAACAATATCGATGTAAAACCGTTTATCGAAGCGCTCGAGCAGCAAACTAATTTTTACAAAAATTTAGGGGTTGATATTTTTAAAGACGCGATTTCTGTCCCGGGGGTAACCTTAAAATACTTATTCAAAACACTACCCGAAAACATTTCTTTTTCTTTGTGTTCCGAGCGCGAATCAGAGTTACATAAAACAATCCGAAATAATATCGTAGGGGGCCCCTCCATTATTTTTCATAGACATCACGAAAAGGGTGAAACGTTCATTAGGGGGAATAGTAATAAGGTGGTACAGGCAATTAAGGGGTACGACGCAAACGCGCTTTATTTATGGTCTTTAATGCAAAAAATGCCGACGGGATTTCCGATTATTAGAAATAGTGAGGAGGGGTTTAGACCGCGTAAAACGAATCATTATGGGGAACAGGCCTTTCAGTGGTTATCGTGGGTTTCAAAAACAAAGGGGGTAACTTTAAAAACGGCATTTAACGGGGGTGAAGTTAGCTTAGGATCACGCCATATAAGAGTAGACGGGTGGGACGCGAACAGTCGAACCGTTTATCAGTTCCATGGCTGCCTC